TATAATAATAGAACAAGCGATTATGAATAACTTTATTCGACAGAGAATCGATGGAAAGGTAATTTATGATTAAAATGAGTTATAGTAATCGCAAAAAATCGAAATTGAAAATATTTGCATATCTTTACGTTTCAAAGGTTTTCTGAGGTTTTTAGTATGCTTAGAAAAAATGATGTACGCGGAAGAAAAGCATTTATGCGTCCCAACTAGGTCTTTGTCTGGGTATGTCAGACTCTATAACGCATGGGTAAAATACCTACTAAAACCTCCGCCCATCATTTTATCTGTGTGTATGTGCGGATACAAATTTTTTCAAAATTCATTTGATTTCTTGATTGAGGAGGCCGTGCTGATTAGTTTTTGCCAAAGGCAGGTTCAGAAGTTTGGAGTTGCAGGGCAAAATTTGCCAAAAATGGTAATGATGCTTGAGATAACGGAGCGACCGATTAGATTGATTCAAAAAGCATTTTATTTTTATTAACTGATTAAATTTTTAGAAGGCAGATCAAGCGGTTTTGGAGATCCATAAATAGTAAAAAAATGGCCAAAATGATTATTAGACATATGTACATCAAATTATCAGATATTTTATAGAGATTTTAGTAATCAATACAATTTTGTAAACGGGTTCCGTATCAAGATTTTTGATGTTAAATTGCTTGAAAATTTTGTTGCTTTGAAAATAGTTCAAAATGATCAAAATATAAAAGAAATAAGTCATTTTTTTTAAAAAAATGTCAATTCTCAAAAATCTAAAGTTTTAAAATAAATTTTTAAAGCTCTCAGAAATTGGTGCGGGAAGTTTCACCACCAATTTTCCTCAAGGCGCGATGACCTGCACGACTAGTTTTATTTTTTATCTATTTATATATTCAAAATTAAATTTTTATTGCATTTTATCTATGGTATTCCGAAATGATCAAAAATCCTTGAAATGTAAAAATATTTTATTATTTGCTATTTCAATAACTCATCTTGAGAAAAGTTAATTACAAGGATTAGAAAATTTCAAATGCAATGTTTCCAATTTTGCATAAACAATTTTCTGTATAAATTTTTATTAAAATTGTATATAAAGTTATTTAATCAGACCTAGTATTTAAAAATGTTTAAAAAAAGATATTTACAAATATTTTAATTATCAACCGGACGTGAATTAGCCTATAATTTTTTGTGCAATAAATAACATGAAATAGTGTTTTTAGATAAAAAAATGTAAACATGAAACTTTAAATATTTAAACAATTTTATCTAATCTGGTTGAAACATTTTATGTAGCTTGTAAATGTCTATAACAGTTTGCTAATAACTCAATTTATAATTGACTTTGTGTCCGAATCGAGCTTGTGACGAATATATACGTCGATATACGAAATTTTGTAATTTTTTATGACGAGTGTATTCGTAAATTTTATCTAGTTTTTAAAATAATTTGCAATGTCATAGAAGAAAATTAAAAATCATTTGAAGAAAACTGAAAAAATGTCTTAAATTCATATGTAGCAAATTATCACCTTAAAGTCTGCATTTCTGCTAGGATTTATATAAAAATTTAATATCCAGTTTTTACAAAATATTAGTAAATATTATCTAGTTTTCACTAATACAAATTAATCATAATGTCCAAAATTAAAAGATATTTGAAGAAAACTAAAAAAATGTCCTAAATTCATATATAGCAAATTTGCAAAATACTAAAGTTCAACCATAAATTATTTATACCTAAATTAGCATTATGTGATATCCGTTACATATATATCGAACGACTTGTAACGGATAACACATAATGCTTATTTAGGTTTCCATATTTTAAATTTTAAATTATAACAGACTGATGATGAGACAAACCTAGTCTCGAAACGTTTGTGAAAATTATTATTTAATGAATTAGTGCAAAAAAG